ATAGGAACTATGTATTGTTCCCATTGGAAAAAGTACTTGACACATCGAGTGCCGATAAGCCCATTTCTTTAATGGACAAGAGTAATGGCTTGTTGAGTATAACACCAGTTGCGCTTATTGGGCCGATTGATAAGAGAAGGATCGCTGTCTTGTGGAAAATATGGACCCCATTTTGCTTTTCTGTGGCAATTAATAGGCAACCTTTTTCGGGTTCGTGGATGGTATGGGCCCATTGGTCTCCAATGGTGTCTTGATCAACCCGTAACGAAGGATCTACTCGCTTTAAGGCTTGATCTTTGGCGATTAGTCTCGCTCTGAATGCTCTCCAATCGGCATAAATATAAGGCTTTGGCTCATCTTGAGAAGAGGATGATGAACCCGATTGACAATCTGTAATCAATCCAAGATAGATACATACAATTTTTTGTTATTTAATCTATAAATAATAACGTATTAATCAAGTTGTACAGATAGAAGTTCAGTGTCAAACAAGACTATTGGTGGACAGTCATAAAGCGTGTAATACATGCAGCAATCTAAAGCCACGTGTAGAAACAACATATATTCATTGTTCAAATATATGGACGAGATTATCTCAAACTGCAGACCTGTTACTATAGGTCAAGTGATTGGCATTGGAACTTGAACCTAATCAATCGATTCACCAACCATGAACTCTTACGGAAGAAAAGATGCATATACAGAACCACACAAAAAGTTTTACATACTCAAATCCATAAAATAAAAATCTTACACTTTTATCGTTGCCTTAGATCCACATTCAATTGTAACACATCCTTGAATTACTAATATTCATTTACAAACTTGAAACCAAGTCTTGTTGTCGTCAAATCTTTTTTTATTATTGCTCTTTTCATTTATTCTTAAAAAAGTAAAAATGAAAAGAAAAAAGGAAATTAATTACATATATTTGATCGTATCTCTAACCTTGCCAGGTTCAAAAAGAATGAAAAAGGGAAACATCAATGCATCCTTAAAAAAAAAAAATTACTTTAATGGTACTATTATTCCGTACTAGTATGGAAGAGATCTGGATAATTAATAATGTATACACTTTTTCGGAAATAAAATTCAAAAAAAAAAAAAAAAACACCGTTCTCTCTTTTGAACTTCTATTTCAAAATTCAGTTCTAATCAAGGCATCGGAGCATATTCGATCACTAAATTCACTTATGTAGTTATCAACTTGTTCGATCCATACAAAATTTTGTTACCGACGTTTTTTACTTGTTTCAGTCTCAATTATTTCTAGAAAAAATAGAATACAAAATTCAGGAAAATAGATAGCAAACTCACATGCTATAGAAAATGGATTCCAAGATTTTCTGCACTGATGTTGATTGAGATTTTTTCTTGAAATTCTTCCTTTGATTGAAGGAAGAACTTCAAAGGTCTTTGTAAAGGAATTTGAGGAGAGCAAACAAGCTTCCATACTGGTTTATTGGATGACACTCAGTTGAAATGAATATAGGCTATAAACACTCATGTTTATAAACTATTTATAAATATTAAAATCACTTTTTATTCACATAATTCGAGGAACCCATAAATATTATTCATTTATCTATCACTCATTTTTTCTATATTACTAGTAGTAAGCACATGCATCGCACGCCTTATATATTGACGCCACTCCATTGAAATGAATATAGGCTGTAAATACAAAAACCTTTGGGGCTAATGAATATGAGATATAGCCTAGAAGTCAACATTTTGACTGATTCGAGGAACTCACAAATATTATACATTTATCTCTCTCTCATTTTTATTTATTTTACTAATAGTAAGCTCGTGTATTGCACGTCTTATATATTGAATGAATGATATGTGTAATATTTTTTAAGTACTAATACCATTTTTAAAAGTAGTTAAGGTAATTGATATCATTTACTTATGTATATAATGTTAAAATTTTAAATAAACTAAAATGTATTGCTTTGATTACATTAACACTTCTTTTTACATGATATTTATTTTTTTACTTTTACCAAGACTTTCGTTCTTTGCATTAAAACTCTGCTAAAAAAATGCGACATATAGTTGCCTTTGGTAAGTTGATGAGATCATCCTCTAGGCTCCATGTAAGATTCTGCACCATTATTGATTTGGATAAACTATTGTGCAAATGATTGTCATTTTGGGCACGCATGTTTTGATTTAGTTACAACTTTTCATATTCTCCCGAAGATACGATCTAATCAAATTTTGGTTAATTGTTGTTGTCATGTTTGCTCTTGGAGTGACAGGTAGTACTTAGCAAAAATCTCCTCCGAATACAAAAACTTTTCCACCAAATGATTTTGAATTGTCAAAGACATCTCTTAAAGTTATATCAATTATTTCTATCATATTTTTGTTGGTCATTGGAGCTTCAATTAAATAAAATATATGTTTTTTAAAATTTCACAACTCCTAAAACATTCCAAAAATAAAATTTGGTCAAAGCGTAACCGTTGATGATGGCATAACAAAAAAAAAATAGAAGGCGAATCTGCATTTTTAATTCCATGGGTTCATATGACTTCCCTCCTGATTTCTCTAATCCTTTTATACATTCAAATGTGCTTGTAGTGGTATGTGTTGATTGATCAATTATATTAGAAAATTTTTGTGCCAGATGAACCCATCAATGTTTTTCATAAGTAGTCCCCAACCTCAGAACAAGAAGAGGGTCGCAGCGGGTTGGCGGCCAACACATAACTTCATTCTAACTTTAAACCAAACAAAACGACAAAAGAGAGTTCATGTAGCCAACTTTGAGGTTATTGGGAATAAGACTTAGTTTGATATTGTTTGGGCCACATAGATCAAAAGTGGATTATTCAATCGTTTTGTTTCCATGTGTCAATGGAATCCTGTTTTAACTTGTTCCATCTCAAAGTTACAAAAACAAGCAATTATTGAAAAAATTATTATTAAAAAAAACCAATTATTGATAACCATATACAGTAAGTTTAAGTCCACTCTTATTGCACAAAATGTTACAAATTGACAATGTTCAAGTACTTCTATAAAGCATATGATATGTTTTACTGTTATCATTTTTAAGACAAACAAACAATGCAAGGATAGCGAAAATATTAAATACTTGAAGCTACACAATTTCAAACATTTTGAAATGTTTTTAGAATTACGCAATGTACTTAACTAATTTACCAAAAAATAAAGGTATACACAAACAGTCCTTCACATTCAAAAACCCTCATATATTATGTTATAAATTCAAATAATAATTGATTAGTAGGGTTATACAAAATTAATGATAGTATTGTTCTGTTTCAAAAGTTTCTCCTCAATACCAGCTTTTTAAATGTTGTAGACAAGTTAAATTGCTTATAAACACTTCCCAATCATGATCAAAAGGTTTTATGTGTACATGGTAAAGTCCAAAGTTGCAAGCTAGATATTATAGATACTAAAGTGGCATTAGCATTTAGGTTTATGATTGATTGATATCTAAGATAAGAGGCATCAGCCGCATGGATGATGCCACGTGTCTTGTCATCCAACGACCCTCATTCATCTTTTCCTAGCATAAAAGTTCATAGTTAGTGCCATTTGAAGGTAATGCAAGTTTAAACTCTCAAACTATAACTTTACCATATCATTATTTTATTTATTACCCCTCAAAGCTAATCTCATTTTTATATTGGAGGCACACGTCTAAAGCTTCATTTATCTTCCCTTCATCACCCTAAAGCAAATGGTCGGGTTGAGATGATCAACAAGACCAACAAGCACATATTGAAAAAGAAGTTTGATGCATCAAAAGAGACGTAGATGGACGAGCTCCCCCAGTATTATGGGCGATTCGCACCACTAGTCGAATCGCAACAGGAGAAACCACATTCTGTATGACTTGTTGTGTCGAAGCCATGACTCCGATTGAGATAGGGCTACCTTCATCTCGCAGCATACACTTCAAAGAGATATCAAATGATGAAATTCAAAGGTGTGAATTGGATTTCCTTGAAAAAATGAGAGACTGACTCCTAAATAAAACCAGCCTCCTACCAGTGAAAAATATATAGATACTACAATGCCAATCTTTTGATTTGTGATCAATGTGACAATCCGCTATCATCGTCGCCACTACTAGCTTATTCGGTCAAATCCAAAGCCGCTGGCAAGGTAATATGGATACTAAAGTGACATTATCATTAAAGGCTTATGATTGATTGATATCTAGGATAAGAGGCATAAGTCGCATGGATGATGCCACATGTCTTTTCATTCAAAGCTCACACTTAGTGTCATTTGAAAGTAATACAAGTTTAGACTCTCAAACTATAACTTTACCATATCACTGTTTTATTCATTACTCTCCAAAGCCGACCCCCCCCCCCTTTTTTTTATATTGGAGGCTCACGTTTAATACTCTCACACACTCATATATTTATTTTCCCAATTGGCTTGACCGTCGAGTTCGCGCAACCAACTCCACTCTCATTGAAGGAGGCCACGTGTGACTAATGATTTATTCAAGTGTACAAGAACAAGGTTTGCGTCGACATGAGAAATTTTGGATTTATTGACCACGTTGGAGGTACATTTTTAGGGGTTAACATATACCGATTCAAAATTTTTCTTGGAATACTTCCTTTGATTGTAGGAAGAACTTCGGTGGTTTTGGTAAAGGAATTTGAAGAGAGAGAACAAGCATCCATGCCGGTATATTCGATAGGACTGTCACAAACAGTATAAAATAAAGAGTGTGTTTGGTAGAGATTTTTGGGGGAAGAATTGATTTTTGAATAGTGATATGATGGGAAATGTGTGGTTGAAAAAGAAGAAAAAAGTATTGATATGCTGGAAAATATTATTTTATTGAAGAATATGGAGTTGAAAATGAGAATTGATTTATTGTAAAAAATGAAAATTTTTACCAAACATGCTCTAAATACGAGACTTTTTGGCCTAATGGATAGTTTCATGGATAAGAAGATACTTCGCTTTTACTTCTACAACGAGTTAGGGTTTAGCGGTACTGGCTAGGGCTGGGTTTGCGTGGAAATATTTTGGACTTATATTGGTGACTTGGAATGCTTCTAGCCACTTCTATATGCACACTCGTGGTCACATTTCCACCGATCTAATAAAAAAAGTGGACGGTTGGAATGTTGACCATTAACTTTTAATTTGTTTAGTTTCAAAAATTAGATTTTTAATAAATTTTATTAAAATTTAACTAAATATATGATTGAAAAATTAATAAAAGTTATGAATACATGAAATATAATTGAAAAAAATTGAGAAAAATGAACTTTAGAAAATGCGGATCTACACATGGGCTCAGTTTTTCAAAGATTATGAACCAGCGCTACATAAATTCCATTAGATGATTCGTGCATGTTTGGGAAGTGATTATAATCGATTTAAATTATAAATAAATAAAAATAAGTGATAAATAAATGAATGTATTTATGGATTTTACAAAATGTGTGCATAAAAAATAAATTTAATCGATTATGTTTATAAATTAAATAGATACCAACCATAACTTAAAGAGGGTGTACTTTACTATCATATAGACAGGTATTTAGTATTATTCAATTGAGAATCAATAATGTAGTCATCCACTTGTTCATTAATGTATCCATTTTTTTAATTTTATACCCAGGTATCCCAGCTTAGCCGACTAAATCCTGGACCTCTAGCCACCGACCCTCAACGACTCGAGGAGGTAAACCTCGGGTTATGCTCTTGTTGGCTCCCAGGAGCTTATTATATAGAAGTGGATAGTGGTTCAATGAGTTCTTGTTCGATAAAATTTAAGAAATTTTACTAATTTTTCAATTGGTGAAACTTAATCTAGTTAAATTTTTATCAATCTCTTTCTGATTCTAATGAGCTTGCTTGCAATCTTTATTTAGAAAAAAAAACTTTATAATGAAATTTGCACAGATATCGAACACGCTTCAAAAGGCAATTACTCTGTATTTTCGGTTCAAGTGAGAACGTTTGCTATCTATTTTTATTTAATTTTTTACATTGTAAGCAATTCTCGCGGACACTTGAAACAACACGAAGAGGATATACTCTATTTCTAATAGTAATTGAATTTTCTTTTTTTTTTTTTCTTTATTCAGGCGAG